TCAGTGCTGGGGAACAGTTGGACTTGATTGGAGAGGGCTTTTCCAACCTTACAAACTCCATGATTCTCCATTGATGGAAAACTAACTGAAATACTGAGTAAGAGAAGTCCAGGTGCACATTGCTTTCAAGGGAAGATTTTTCATGTCTTTTTAGAGTACCACAAGTGTAGTATCCTGTTAGTGCACCTGATCCAACAGGAGCTTGTATTTCACAGACCACACTGTTTTCAGTCATCTTGATAAAACTTTTTGTTTTGCACAGGTAAAGGACCTCTAAAAGATTACTACAATGAACTGATCCAAAAACTGCACTTTAAGCATATCCAGATCTGTACACCATGGCTGGAAGCTGAGGATTACCCTCTTCTGCTTGGTAAATAGTGGGTGATGGAAAAGGCTTGAGGATGTGTGGGAAGCAGCACAGTTGCAGGGGGCCGATGCAGGCTGGGAGAACACAGTCAGGAATGCTGCTGGTTAGTGACAGGATATTCATGGATCTGACTCATTCCAGAAAAGCTGCTGAATTCCTCTGGCTGGCTTTTCCCTGTTTTCCCAAGAAGTAGCTGTGGTGCCGTTTCAGCCTGTTCTTTGCACTCTTTGTTTCTTCTAGCTGTGCTGAAATACAGGTGTCTGACCATGTTCTATTTTACTTTCAGGGTCACTCCAGTAAATGAAATTAAAAAGTTGGCTGAGCAACCAAAAGTAGCTGAAATTCTATATTAACATGTCATTGGAATGTTATTCCCTCAGCGTCTTCATTACAAAAGTGGCAGTAGTAGAGATATAAAATACATATTCAATGTGATCTTCATTCTGCAGGGTTAGAGCCTGACAGTTTATGTGGCTGTAAAACACTGTTTGTTTGGTTCTTTTAAAATACTGAACATAATGTCTGTAAAATGACACTATAATTCCTCTGAGCTGACTTCAGCTGGGAGAGGTCACTAGTGAGGTCACAGTGTATACTGATGGGGTTGTGATGGGGTTTTCCTTTACTTACCCATTTTTAGCAGATTAAGAGGCAGAAAGGCTGTTTTAAGATACATAAAACTTCAAAATCCCCTTTAATTTAACATGCACACACTGACTGCTTTCTAAAACATAACTAATTTTGAGTCCCAAAACACCCTGTGCTTTATTTTTTTCCCTGATTGCTTGAAATTGTGTCTGGGTAGTTGAAAGTTTCACTTGCACCATCCAAAGCAGCACAAAAATAAAGGTTTGCAGGAGGACAGAGGAGCTGCTTTCAGAGAGTTCAGACTGTGTTGTGTTGGCTTTTCAGGCTCAGCAGACCTGGGGGTGTGTCTCCATAAATCCTCCAGTGGTTTGGATTTGCCCATGAAGGTGGTGGATATGTTTGGCTGCTGTTTACCTGTGTGTGCAATACATTTTGAATGGTAAGAGCTTATTCTGTTACAACTCAAGGGAATCACATAAAACAGTATTCTTACAAAGCCAGAGTTCAGCAGCTACTGCAGGAATTCAATGAGATTCCTGTATTTTGCCATTTTTAAAATTCAGTAAGATAGAATTCAAGGTTGTTTTAAGTTTAAAAGTTAATACTAGTTTCTACAAAAATGGGAGCATTTAATGCAAGCATTGGCCTTAAAAAATCCCTGTATTCCATTGTTTTCATATATTTAGTTAAAAAAAATAATCTTTCTTCTGCATAGACACACCTCTTCAATGAAAGGCTGAGAGTATGCATGGGCATTCTTGGAATTTATGGTCCTTTGGGAAAACCATAGCTTTATAAAACAAGACAAATTCCTGTGAAGATTTCATGATGGATCATGGACAGATTTTCCTTATGGAAAAAAAATCCAGTTTGAAAGTAGATCATTGTCCTGGTTTTCAATGGATGTCCAGATGAGTGGCACAAAGACAGAATGAGGGTCCTTTGGTACAGTTCTGGTAGATTTAGTCTGACATAGAAAGGAGAAGAAGTCTTTAACTGTTCAAAACTGCCTGTTTAACTCCATTATGTCAGGTGTGGAGCTTGTGACATCTGGGGCCATAATGATACAGATATCCTGGTTTGGTCCTTTGGATGTCACAGGGTAGCATTGTAAATGTCCTCCCACTCACTGCTTTTTGCCTCAGTTTTCCTTTTGTGACTTTTTTTCACAGTTTACATGAACTGGTGAAACACAATGAGAACGGTCTGATATTCAGGGACTCACAGGAACTTGCAAAACAGCTGAAGGTAAAGGCTCTGACTGATTTCTTTCTCCCCAGAAATAACCCCAGAGGTGCCACTGTGTGAGCCGCCTTTTCAGATCTGAACATCACCTCTGTGTTTTGCATTCTCACAAAGTACTGCCTGGCCTGGAGAGCATTGTTTGCCTCACTTCTGTTTGAATGTGAACCTGAAGCTGGCAAAAGCATTTCAAATTCTGTCCTTGTTCTATCTTTATGGGGCCAGACCTCAGAATTGCAGCTGTAGTTGAGGGTTAACACTGGGGAGGATGGAATGTGCCTGAAATGGAACATGACAGTTATTTTTCTGTGGTTTTGCTTTTTAAATCACAGATGCTTTTCTTGGATTTCCCCAGCCTGGAAGGGAAACTTCACAGCTTCCGAGAGAACCTGCGAGCGTCCCGGCAGCTGCGCTGGGACCAGAGCTGGGACCAGACTGTCCTTCCCTTGCTGGGCGACAAGGAGTGACTGGAGGGAAGGAAGGTGTCAATCACATTCCTGCAGCTGCAGACATTTGGAAAACAGTGAATAAACACTTTGTACTGTCTGTACTTACAGTTTCTAACTCCTTTGTCTTGGCTCGTACACTCTTACTGCACAGTTTCAGCTTTCTGGGTGAGTAGGAGGTGCTGGAGGTGCTGAGGCTGTTTGTTGTGTGAGAACCTGTGCTGCTTGAAGGGCCCTTTTTGGTGAAGATCCTTGAATACAGAGAAACAATTGCCAGCTTCACCTCCTGTACAATCAGCACTTAGTAGGTGATTTGGGTATGGTTTCTTTGGCACATGGCAGATACTTTTCCTTTGAGTAGTTTCATTTCAGCTGATCAATTTGATGGCCAAAGTGTTGCAGCGTGTGAGCGCTGCAATTCCCGTTATCGGCAGGGACAGACAGCGATGGCACGGGGCCTGGGGTGGGACAAGATGGATTTATTTATTCCTGGGCTCCCAGACAGGACTGGGGTGGGGGTGAACAGAAGTTCTTACAGAGCAGCTCAGGAGTAGGGGTGTAGGAAAGTGACCCAATGAGGACATGGTAAGAGAGGAGTATAAGGTGGGGTAAACAGCTTATGAGCCTATCAGGGAAAACAGGGGGAATAATACGAAGTAACAAATGGGGTGTCGAGGGCAACAAGACAGACACAGAACTCTCTGGAGAAAGGGGTAGGGATAGGGAGGATTGACAACTTGGAAGGGAGGAGGTTAGGGAAGGGCTTGGGAAAATTGGCAACTGGAAAAGGGAGGGGATTAGGGAGAACAGGGGGCAAACATGGATTCAGAGCAAAACACGCCACAACACCCAAGTACTGAATATCCTCCTGTGAGGTTTTACTGGGACAGAACCAATTTGTTTCCCAGTTGTTTTTCTTTTTGACAGTGTGTGCAGAAGTGTGGAAGCACAGCACTGGTATGCGACAGCTTTACTGGGCACTTAGAGCAAAGCAGAGCTTGCAGTGAGTTGTTCTCCTTGTACTCTGAAATTAATGTGCCCATTTACCTTGGGAAAGAACATAAAGCTCATCTCTTCTTGAACAGATGAACAGAAAAGGGAAAAATAAACCCAAAATACACGAACAAAGGATGTATAACTTAGTCAAAAGGCACTTTGCTTAGTGAGTGTTTGCTGAGGTACAGCCTTCAGCTTTTTATTAAGCTCAGTATTCATGCCTAATGCTAACAAGATTTTTTTCATGACCTTCTTGATGATAAAATAGATGTCAGTCATTGGTAAATGTACTTGGTTTGGACTGTGTTTACTGCTGCTCAGAGATCCTGCTTCAGGGGAGACAGTGGGTTCTGCACCAGCAGTTTTAAACTCTGAGCAACTATTGAATATCTGCTTTTGTCAAAAGAGAAAAAGAGAAAAGGTGAAAATAGGGTCAAGGTGCTTTACTGCAGGAATTTGGCAAAACCTCCAGCTTATTGATTGAAGAATGATCCATAAAGATTTATTTGCCAATTTTTTAGTGGTTTTTTCCTGCTTTCAGTCAAAATCCTGTCTAGAGGTTTGGCCATTCCTGTGCACATGGAGGTGAATTAGGCACTTCTTCAAACAGTAATGCCAAAAGTTTTAGAGAGGTCTCCTCTTCATATAATAGAACTTTTTAGATCCAAAATGAGCTTTGTACAGAACATTTGTCTTGAATTTTGTGTAAGGGGAGATAAAGGAGCTCCTGTGTGGGCTGCCAGTTTGTGTTTACTCTGGAAATAACAGCTTTGAGTTCTTTCTTTGGGGATAGGGCTGGGGTTATTTCTGCTTGATCCCAGCAGTCATGATCTCCTTAAACTTGCAGAATAAGATTCTTCAGGTTTCAAGTTCGGTATCATCAGTTTTCTCCCCATTACTAGAGAAGGAGGAGGTTGAAGTTTTCATTTCCTTTTAAGTAGTTTTTAATAGAGAAAAGGAAATCAAAAGAATGAGCGTCACTTTGATTTTTGTGCTTCAGGACCAGTGCTACCCGACAGGAGAATGATTAATGGATGATGGAAAGTTTCAGAGTAGGGGAGCTCAGTCCTTCCTCTTTGTAGGATACCTGGAACACTGCTAAGGAGAGTGATTCCTTTTTCATTCCCAGCCCTGCCTGGATTCCCAGCAGCCACTGTGGAAGTGGCAGTCCTTATGTGAGAGAAAGAGACATCAATTATGACTTGTCATCACTGCAGAGTAAAGATGCACCTATTTGCAGCAGAGTCATCCTGGGACACACCTACAGGTACTGGTCACTGTTTACTGGGGGGCTTTAAGCCAACCCAAACTGCAAGTATACACAGACATAAAACACCAGAGCAGACTGTTAGAGCTGGTTTTAATATCAAAACCCATTTATTACTCTGAAACATTGTTTTGCTCCCTTGTCTGTGGGAGATCCTCGTCTGTGATCCTGCAGATTGTCCCCAGTACTTACAAATCACCACACAGTTGGAAAAAAACCCTGCTTGAATTCTGCTGTCTTGTACAGAATCCAAGTGAAGTGTGATTAGGCCTTTTTAATTTTTGTTGCTTGAGGTTCAGTCACTTCCCAGGGGCAGCTCCAGGCTTGGATCCATGCTGGGAATTAGAGGAAGGAAGGAAGGACTCCTGTGTCCATGTGTATAGTTGTATCCTCAGAACCTCATTTCCTGAATTCAGGATAATCTTGTTACAAGGCTGACACAGCTCATATTGGTCTCAAAATTCCAGTTCTGTATGCCAAGCCTATATAAATAGCTGCAGAATAGTTACATCTGGCTGTACATCATAGAGAAAATTACAGCTGCTGTGGGTTGGAATCACCTGCCATCTGATCCCAGCTTTATCTGCGAAGAGAAACACTGGAAATCATATTTATGCTTAATAAAATGAAGAGCAAAAGTTGCATGACAAGTTCTGTAAGAAGAGCTCTTTAGCATGCTGTGATTGTCAGGCAAATGATTATGAGTGTTTTTTTTAAAATCCCATTAATGCCACTGAACATTCAGTGTCACTTTGTGAATTAAACAGAATTTCACAGAATATCCTGAGCTGAAAGAACCCCTAAGGATCATCAGGTCCAGCTGGTGAACACCAGGTGAACAGCAAAGACACTGCAAAAGAAGTGCTTTAGAAGTGTATATGAAAAATCCCCAAATCCTTATTTTATTTAATTTCTAGTTGGAGGTTTTTGTCAAAAGAGAAAAGATGAAAATAGTCAATTTAAAGAACAGGTAAGATAAGATAAAGGGTTTAGGCTGCATCTCGGGACAGTGCAGCACTGATGGCTCCCTCCTTTAAGCTTAAACCTCTTTACTTTCCTGTTGGTACCACACTTACAAATCATCCTTTGCAGATGTGAGCAGTGATAGCTCAGGATGTACCCAAAGGTGAGTTCCAAGCTCCTGATGAAATCCATGTGCAAAAGCTACTGCTCTTAAATCCAGCTCTAGGATAAGATTCTGCTCTTGGACAATGTTCCTGCTCCTCTCTACCACAGAACAAGTAATGGGGAAAGAGGCAAAAAGGCAAAACTACTGAACACTGGATGGAACAGGCACCCACCCAGCTCAGCCTGGAATAGCTGATGCGTGTCTGGATTTCGAATTGTGGAGGCAATGAACACCTCAGGAGCCTTCCTGTCTGCTCTGGAGGTGGAGAGTTTCTGTAGCATCCCAATGAGGGCTAAAATTATCTCAGGATCATACACCACATCTATAAAAAAGAAAAAAAAGAAACATACAATATTTATTGAGAATTGAGCACAAACCAGAACAAAAACTGCAAAGCAGAAATAAAATCTTCACAGTGCAGGAGAATATTGACATTTTATGGGCTATGCCCTCATCACTAAAAATCAGTGCTCCTTTTAGTAAACGGATTGTCAGATATTTTATTTAAGCCCACCTAAGGGAGGCAGCAGAACTACTGAGTGTTGGTGCTCTGTTCCCACTGCCCTTGGCAAAACAAACCTGCCTTGTTAGAAATGAGTGCTTTAGAGGCTGCTGCCAAGGACATGCAGAAGTTTTCACCCGGAGTCATTCCCTGGAGAGCAGAAATGGTGGTGAGAGCTCAGGGAACACCAAGGGGAGCAGAATGCTGATTATCAGAGGGGGCTGTTTCCTACACAGGTATCCAGGTGTGTGTTCCACTGCAGTAACTCTGCTGCAGTGAGGAACAGCAAATAGCACAGAGATGTCAGTGCCCCTCAGCTCTTGCCAGAAGAGTCCAGCTGGGGCTGGTTTGGGCACTGAGCAGCGTCATTGGCATCAGGTACCATGCAGTGACTTCATTTTATAGAATTCCCATTCACTGCATCTTTGATACCTTGGATACCAAAGTCATTTTTGCACCTGGATTCTCAGGTTTTTCTGTGCAAAGCTCCAAATCAGGGTGTAAGACCTACAGCTGAGACATTCTGCTCTCACTAGGTATCACCACCATTGTCCTACTGTCACTAGATTTTCCATGATTGGATTTTTTATAAAACTCCCTCTGAATTTATACACAGACAAGTACAAAAAAAGTCTGTAGTTGGTTGTTGTCGTTCTGTTACTCCCCAAGAGGCTACTGAGCCCTGCCTATCCCTGCTCCCTGTGGGTGCAGTACCTGCTGCAATGACAACGTCAGCTCTGAGACCCAGCAGTTGTTTTTCTGTCGCTGATCCCCAGTCAAGCTCAGCAACAACCACTTTTGGGTTTTGGCAGTTCTGTCCTTCCACCTCCTGTCCTTGGGACTCTGTTTGGATGCTCCAGGTCACGTCAGGCTCTGGGGTGAAGCCGTTCAGCTGGATGTTTTCCCCCAGCTGCCTGAGAACACGGGGGTGGCAGTCACTGAATATGAATGTCCTGGGCTGGCAGGTCTTGCAGATGGCAATTCCAGTGAAGCCAATCCCACTCCCCAATTCCAGGATTGTCCTGTGGGTAATGGAGTAAAAAAAGTACTAACAGGACTCTGCATTGATTTAGAAATCAAAACATGCTAAATATAATTAAAGGTAAAATCAGTTCCAGATAATTACAATAATTTTTGAGTGAACCATCCACAATCTAACCTTTGTTCCAAGCAACTGGAGAGTTGGGAATAACTGAGGGTGGAATTGTCAGCATAAAATTAATTAGCTGAAATGCTGATTTCTGTAAGGCACAAAGCATTCCCACCACAGGGATGAGGGACATTCCCACCTGGCTTTAGCCATCTGCAGCACAGTTGTTTCCACCTGAGCTGGCTCTCCAGTTTTTAGTCAGTGGAGAGAAACAGACACTGAGCAGCACAGTTCCTTCCCCTGTGGGCTTAACTATTATTAAATTATCTTTCTTCAAAAGTCCTTGCTTGTCTTGACTGCTTATAAATAAAGTAGAAATGATGTGATCAGAGCTGCACACTAATCTAATGTAGATACTCCTTGGTGAATACCACCATGGACTGAAGGTCATTAGTGAAATAAAACTGAGCAGCTGAACTCACAGAGCAGGTCAGACTGCACAGTGCAAGGGTTTGCTCCTAAACCATGTCCTGACAGGTTAAAGTTTGGCAGAACAGAAAAGCAGTAATTACTCAGCAGCAAAAGAGTGTCATTTGAGTTATTTTAGATGCACAGTCTGTTATTAAATATTTCTGTTATTAAATTACGGTTGTATAGCTCACAGTGTCAGAGGGCTGGAGCCCCTCTGCTCTGGGCCAGGCTGGGAGAGCTGGGAATGCTCACCTGGAGAGGAGAAGCTCCAGGGAGAGCTCAGAGCCTCTGCCAGGGCCTAAAGGGACTCCAGGAGAGCTGGAGAGGGACTGGGGACAAGGGATGGAGGGACAGGACACAGGGAATGGCTCCCACTGCCAGAGGGCAGGGATGGATGGGATATTGGGAAGGAATTGTTCCCTGTGAGGGTGGGCAGGCCCTGGCACAGGGTGCCCAGAGCAGCTGTGGCTGCCCCTGGATCCCTGGCAGTGCCCAAGGCCAGGCTGGACGGGGCCTGGAACACCCCAGGACAGTGGGAGGTGTCTCTGCCATGGAATTATGTCCCTTCCCAGCCACAGCATTCTGTGATCCTGCAGGAGGAGCTCCTTCCTGCAGCCCTGCTGCTGCCATACCTGTCCCTGAAGAGGCCGGGGTTCTGCAGTGCCCACTGGGCCAGGTGCAGGGCAGCCTCCCACGTCAGGAGCCCCGTGGTGCCCCCAGAGATCAGCGCTGTGCTCTCGCAGAGGCTCACACAGTCCCCCGAGGGCTGCAGGACACGGGAAGGCAAAGATGCATCAGCACAGGCCATGGATTTAGAGTTTACAATCAACAGGAGCACCTGGAAAAAGGCAGGACGCACTCCAGGCTTCAGCATGGGTGTTTTTAAAGCTAATTATTGCTTAGTTTGGGTGAGTAAATGTGGTTTAGAACACTGCAGTGTCAATTTTTACCAGTAAGTAGTTTTTGTAACAGTGAGTAGATTCCTCTTCTTCTTTTAGAACATCTGCCAGTGCCTGATAGAGTTCATCCAGGGGTTCAGCTGCTGTGGACTCAAGCTGTGGGGGAGGAGAACAAAGCAGATCTGAGCATCACATTGTCATGAAAGAGAAAACAATTGCATTCTAAGCCCCATTTTAGTACAGTGTATTTATGCTGAATGTTGTGGTTGGTTATTACATTAGGTATTCTCAAGGAAAAAAAAAAAAAAACAAGTGAAAAATAAGCTGAAAAGCAAGAAGTACCTTTTTGATGAGCTCAGTCAGGAAGCACCTCCTGTACTTGGCCGAAGGGGGATATTTCACACACAGCGGGTGAAGAATTGTCTGCAATGAGAAGAGCCATGGAAACCAATTACCCAGGGCAGGGTTTAGGAAAGGCACTAAGGATCACAAGAGGACCATTAATTGGGTCTGGGTGCCATGAAACACTTTGAAATTTAGTCTGTACAAGATATGCTAAGCCAGGAATTGAAATGGGATGATTTCTGACAGGTCTGTGAGTTTACAGAACTGTGTCCACAGATTTCTTACTTTTTGTGGCAACAAAAATACCACTTTTCAATAAAGAGGAAAATAGAATGAGAATAATCCAATTAACTCTCCTCCTTCGTTTGCTCTTCTCTTCCTTCTTTCCGTTTCAGTTTGCTGCCTTATTAGTGATCTCCATTCACAGGGACAGTTTAGGCACCCCCATTCCCTGTATCCCGAATATCCAGGAGCGGCTGCGGTGACTGAGCCATTCACCACACCAGTGCTCTGGCATGCGGGTCTCAATTTTTACCAAAGAACACTCAAACACCAGGCACAGAAGGAAATCTGCGGTTCTGCAGGGCCTAACGAAACACCGCGACACCGGATCACGGATCCCGCATTTCTGAGCAGTTCCGGCGGATTTGGGACTCGCGCTGGCACCACCCGTCGCTGCTACGGAGGTGACTCCGATCCGTCCCTCACCTCGCGCAGAATATCCGCCAGCAGCGCGGAGTCCGGCGCAGCCCGCAGGCTTTGTTCGAGCTCCTGGAACGGGATAAATAAATAAATAAATAAACAACGCCGCGGCACCGCCTCCCCCCGCCCGGCCCCTCCGTACCGGCCAGGGCAGCGAGCGGAGCGGCCGCGCCGCCAGGAACCGGCGCTGGAAGCGCAGCGCCAGCCCCGGCCGCGGCTCGGCCATGGCTCCGGGGCTCGGCCGTGGCTCCGGAGCTCGGCTGTGGCTCCCCGGCGCTCGGCCGTGGCTCCGGGGCTCGGCCGCGAGCCCCCGGCGGAGGGGCCGCCCTGAGGGCGGAGCGGCACCGCCCCGCGGGGCCCGAGGCACCGACGCCGCAGCGGGGATCGAACCCGCGATCCCCGGGCACGGCGCGGCTCTCCCCGCAGAGCTGCCCCGCCGCCCGAGCGGGACTGGCGGGGTCAGGGAAACACCGGGAGCGGGGCCAGGGAAACATTGGGATCGTGGAACACCGGAATCGGGGAAACGAGGAACCACTGGGTCAGTGAATCACTGGGATCATAAGAATCGTGGAAACGCTGTAATTACGGAATCGTGGAATCTTTGGAAACATGGAAACACAGAATCACAGAATATCGGAATAACAGAATCAGAGGGATCATGGAATGGTTTGGCTGGGAAGGGTCATTAGGGACCATCCCATTCTAGCCCCTGCCATGTCCAGGGACACCTTCCGCTGTCCCAGGGTGCTCCAAGCCTCATCCATCCTGGCCTTGGGCACTGCCAGGGATCCAGGGGCAGCCACAGCTGCTCTGGGCACCCTGTGCCAGGGCTGCCCACCCTCACAGGGAACAATTCCTTCCCAATGTCCCATCCATCCCTGCCCTCTGGCAGTGGGAGCCATTCCCCGTGTCCTGTCCCTGCATGCTGTTGCAAATAGACGTGCTCCATTTGTCCCGCGGTTCCCTGCAGGCGCTGGAAGAGGTCCCAGCTGAGTGCCCCGAGCTGTTCTTCCCCCAGAGCCCCGCGGCTCCCGGAGCTCCCTCACGGCAGCGCCGCCACAGCCGCGCCGCGCCCTCGGCGTCACCGCTGCGCGCCCCGCACGTCACCGCCGCGCGCCGCGGCGAAGGACACAGCGCCCGAGCGGGGCCGAACGGGACCGAACGGGACCGGAGGGAGCCGAGCCGGGCCGAACCGGAGCGAGCCGAGCCGAGCCGAGCCGGGCCGAACCGGAGCGAGCCCAGCGGGGCCGGGCCGGGCCGAACCGGAGCGAGCCCAGCGAGCCGAGCGGGCTCAGGCGCCATGAGCGGCCCCTCAGAGGATGAAAGGCTGCGGGTGCAGCAGCTCCGCGCCCTGCGGCGCCGCTGGCTGCGGGACCAGGAGCTGAGCCCGCGGGAGCCGGTGCTGCCGCCGCGGCGGCTCGGGCCCGTGGCCGCCTTCTGGGAGCGCTTCGTGCGGCCCGGGGATCCCTGGCGGCTGCAGGTGAGCGGCGGGACGCGGGCCCCGCGCGGCCGTTCCCGGGCCGCCGGCCAGCCCTGAGTGTCGCTGTGCCCGCAGGTGCACAAGCTCTACCAGACCGGCAGCTTCGTCCTGCTGCGGGTGCTGCTCCCCGCCTGGGCCATCACCTACTACCTGAAGTACCACGTCCGGGTGCGTGCGGCCGGGGTTAAGGGGAAAGGCCGGGAAGGGGCGCGGAAACGCTGGGAAAAGCGCAGGGCCGGCGGGGATGGTGAGAGGAATGGTCCCACTCCGGGTGTGGGTGAACGTGCTGCTCACATTCGGTTGCATATGAAGGTTATTCCCCCTGGCCAACTGTTCACCGCTTGTTTCCTTGCCGGGGTAGCACTTACATATAAATCTAGTGTGATACTTCATCACAAAGAATCACACTTGTGACACCCCACCTGCAGCAGCAGAACGTAGAGCTGGAGAGTCCAGAGGAGGCCACGGAGATGCTTCAAGGGCTGGAGTCCCTCTGCTCTGGAGACAGGCTGGGAGAGCTGGGAATGCTCACCTGGAGAGGAGAAGCTCCAGGGAGAGCTCAGAGCCCCTTACAGCGCCTAAAGGGGCTCCAGGAGAGCTGGAGAGGGACTGGGGACAAGGGATGGAGGGACAGGACACAGGGAATGGCAAAGGGCAAGGATAGATGGGATATTGGGAAGGAATTATTCCCTGGCAGGGTGGGCAGCCCTGGCACAGGATGCCCAGAGCAGCTGTGGCTGCCCCTGGATCCCTGGCAGTGCCCAAGGCCAGGCTGGACAGGGCTTGGAGCAGCCTGGGACAGTGGGAGGTGTCCCTGCCTATGGCAGGGTTTGGAAGATTTAAGGTCCCTTCCAACCAAAACCATTCTATGATTTATGGCAGTGCCCAGGTTCTCCTGTGATCTAAGTAGAAAAGCTGTGTCCAAACTGTTCCTGTCCTGCAGGAACAGCCCTGGGAATAACCAGGGAGCTGCTGGTGTGGGGAGGGAGAAGGGCCGGCCCTGCCCCCCCGGCAGGTGTGGCTGTTGCAGCCTCAGGTATTTCTCTAAGTAGTGGAAGATTTAACAGGGCTTTTGCTTAGCACAGTTTGTATCCTGGAAGGGTCATGGTGCCCATTTTGAAAATGCTCTGTGCTTCCTCCAAGTAACACTGTTCTCCTTGCCCTTTCCCTCTCTTCTCACCCTGCTTCCAGAAATCGCCGCACGGTGTGGTTATGACAAACCCACGGATATTCCCAGTAAGTCTCTCATGATTTGTTTTATCTTCCAGCTGTGTCACACAGACAGGAAGGGGTTTCCAGGGAGCTTTGTGCAGCACCTGGGAAGTGTCTAGTGACAACTTTCCCAAGGGATGTGCTCTGTCCTGTGGGCAGCACGGTGACAGTGGGTTTGGGCACTTTCACCTTGTCCTCAGTCCCTGTTTCAGTGTTACCCCTCTGTAGCACCTGGCTGTCAGAGCCTGGCTGATCCTGCCCATCTGGGGTGGAAAATAGAAACATTGCCTTTGGGAATGGGTGTTCAAAGCCTCTGTAAATATTAACACATGGAATCACACAGGAGTGACTGCTTCTCCTCGTTGTCAGCCCTGAGAATCTTGGTTCTGGCTTGGTGCCAGTTGTCCCTGAAGGTCCCCCACACTCAGGTGTCCCCAAAGAGTTGTGTCACCTCAGCTTGGGACAAGTTTCATGAAGCAGAGAGTGTCACAATGTTTGGTCTTTTCTGTTTTCAGGCTGCTCTGAGCTGTTACTGATTGGTGTAACAAGTCAGAGGGCAAATATTCCTACTGAAGATCAGCTCTGCCCTTTCTGACTGCTGCCCATTTTTGGCATAACACCTCCTAATCATGCTCTATCTAAAATAGAATTATAAAATAGTCCATCCCAAACAACCACATAGCAACACACTGAAGGTTAAGCTGTTGGCCTCTGTCTTCAGCCTAATTTTTCAGTTGAGTTAGGTCAGCTCATCAGGCCAAGACTGTGCCTGGAGCTGGAACAAGTGGCACTGGGGCAGCAGGTTGATTTTTGAGGGATTCCATGGCTTTCCATGGGCTCTGGGCCGAGGGTTTGGACTCACTGATCATTGCTGGAGGGGGGTATGCAGTGCCATAAGTAATTTTTAAAACAAAACAGGCTCAGAATGTGTGGCTGCTGTTCTGTAGTGAAAACAAGGGGTAAAGCGAGTACGGGCTTCAGGTAATTTTGCTGTGATGTTATTCCAGCATTCTGGGAATGTTGGGGGAATGAGTGTTCTGAGTGAGTTGTGGTGAGATTCCTGCCTGGAAATGAGGACAGTTGCAGGTTCCCCGAAGGGAGGCTGTGCAGGGAGAGTCTGGATGCCACAGGGAATGCTCACCATGCTCTCATCCCACAGGGGGACAGGATTTTAGAGACTGGAGAGATCATGCCACCCCTGAGAGACGAGCACCACCAGCACCACTGATGGCCAGGAGCCAGTTTCCTCTGTGGGGGAACATGGCCAGAGCTGCACCTGCTGTGTCTCTTCCATAAAAGTCTGCATTGTCTCAGCTCCTGTGTCATTTACTGTCTCTTTAGTCCGTGTCATTCCAGGTGCTCCTCCTGTGGGAGTTCATTATCGCTGGATCCTGGGGATCTCCAAGGCCCCCACTCACCTCTCAGTGGGACCTGGCAGAAGGACAGTGTGGGCCTTGGGGTGATGAGGGAGGCACTCTGGATCCCAGGGATTTTGGAGCAGGCTGCTCCAATGAGCAGTCACACACACGCTTGGCTCTCCTCTGCCACCCAAACCCTTTCTACCAACCCTTTCTGACAGGCTTCCAGTGAAAACGTCACTTCCACCTATGTCATCCCACCTCTCTGCCTAGGGAGAGTGGCAGAAGAGGCACTGCTGCCAAAAATCCTTTTTACCACTCTTCCCTCTGCCTTCAGCCCTTTCTGAGGAAGAGTCTTCCAGTCCCCACATACCTGGGGCACTTTGTACTGGGAAGACTGGTTTCTTAAAGAGCAGTGATCCCTGTGGATCCCTTCCAACCTGACATATTCCATGATAGGAAGTGTTTTTGTAGCTACTTTAGGGATAGGAATGGTTAAACCAGTAATCCGAAGGGTAACCTGGGTGGCTGTGACAGAATCCCCTCAAGGAGCCATGAGAGAGCAGCCCAGCCCATGTGTGTGAGGAGCAGGGGACAGGTCAGAGCCCCTGTACTGTGTTTGGGGACAGCCAGACCCCTCCTAATAGCTCTGGTAGGGATTTGGCAAACTGCAGTCAGAGGGGATGAGGGAGGCCGTGGACCCCAGGCCCTTGCCAAAGCCACATCCCTTTCTTTCCTTGGGTGAATGGTGGCTCAGGGTGGGACAGCAATTGGGGTGGTGCAGTAGGATCCTTGGGGTCATCACTGGGGAAGGCTGGGGGTCACTGGCGTGGGGGGGTGGGAGAGTGAGCAGGGGCTGTTGGGGGGCACTGGGAAAGTAGAGAGTCAGGGGGGAGCCTGGGTGTTGAGGGGTGGTGGGGTTGGTAGAGAGGCTCCAGGGGGATGAGACTTGTCCTGCCCAAGGCCCTGGGGGTCCCTGTCACTACCCCTGCCCCAAGGTGTGCCCAGGGGCCACAGCAAGCCCAGCCCCTGGCCAGTGACCTGGGGAGGCCTTCCCTCCCTGAGTCCCCTGACACCTCCACCCCATGATGGCAGCTGGGGTACTCCAAATCTCCATGGTCCCTGTGCATTTGTACAACGCTTGAGGAACTGGGGACTGGGACATCTTCTGGGGACAGCACATACCCAGAGCTCCCAGATCCCCCTGAGAAGGCACTGATACTCCCAGGACTCTCAAATTCCCCTAAGGAAATGCTGACAACTCTCCTCCTCTAGTGAGAGCTCCCCCAGGACTACAGGGAATTCCTAGTACCCCCAGAGTGCCATGAACATGCCCACAGCTCCAGCAACCCAAAGGACACCCCTCTCCCCCATGTCCCCAAGGTGTGTGTCTCAGGGGGCTATTTTAGGCATGGACTCGGTCCCAAGGGTAGCTGTGGGGCCCTGGGATCACCTAGGGGTTTTGGAACAGATAATCTTCCCTGAGTAGAGGGAATAGATACCTTTACCTCAAGCAGGAAGAGGTCTGAGTGCCATAACCACACCAAAAAAGACAACAGAGCACACTGAACATGTCCTGGCACAGCTGCAGCAGGACCATTCACCTCCATCCCCTCAGCTGTGCCACTGCAGGTGACAGCACGTGGCACTGGGGAAGCAGGAGGAACCAGGAGCCTGGTGTCAGACACACACTGCTGACAGCTGCTGGACCTCTGCAACGACCATGTGCCTCCACAAACACAGTCTGGATCTTCCCTGCGCCATTCCTGCACCTCTCAAAGTCATCGAGTCCAATTTCCCTCATACCAAAGATGTGGGTGATGCATTCTCTTGACAATGAAAGCAAAACTCTTCTGGGTTTGTACCAGATTTGTGGGAATCCAGGGCATCCCTCTGGCTGCCCTGGAAGGTCTGGGACCCTGGAAGGGGGTCAGGAACCCCCCTGTACAGAGCCCCCAGAGACACTGTCTGTGATCTCTGTCCATGGAAAAGAGTTTTCAGTCTTACAGGATGAATTACAAGCTCTGAGTGTTTGATATAAGTAATAATTAGTGTAACACAACTACAAAAAGTAGAATTATAGGATTCTAGATAAGGGGTTCAAAGGAGACAAGATGGAGGACATTGAGCATGCCTTGTCCTTCATGTCTTCCAAGTTTCACTGTAGTGTTGGCATTTTTCTATTGATTTAGACTAGGGACACACTGTTCAATATAAGTGATATATATTAGCACATTATTATAACTATAGCACATGTAGTTTCTAGTATATAATGTTTGTAACACCCCTTCACAGAAAAAAGATTTTATAAAGTTAATATAGATTGTGCCCTCAATAACATATATAACATACATTGTGCCCTCAAGTGCCCTCAGCGTTGCACAGACAGATATTACACACAGGACTACATCATCTGCATAACTTTGAGATCCCTACCAGCTAAAAACATATCACTGATCAGTGATAGATGCACCCATAGATAATCACAGAGCCGTGGAATGGTTTGAAGGGACTTTAAAGCTCATCTTGTCCCACCCCCTGCCCTGGGCAGGGACACCTTCCACAATCTACAGGTTGCTCCAAGCTCTGTCCAGCCTGGTCTTGGACATTTCCAGGGATGGGGCAGCCACAGCTTCTTTGGGTAGCCTGTGCCAGGGCCTCCCCACCCTTATACCATATATACACTATATATATATGTTGGAATCTGTGGGTATTGATGATTCCCAGATTGTAGAAAGTCTCTGTCTGTCAGCCCCGCTGCCAAAGCAGAAGCCATAATTGGTCTGTGCTGGTTTCAAGGTTGTTTATTCTGTTTATCTCTAACATGTTCTGCTGCCCTGCCGCAGCTCTGTCCTGCAGGGCAGCGTGTGGGGCTCTGCCCTCAGTGGGATGTTACAAATATTAAATACCACAAACTCCCTGTGCTGGATTTACAATAACGTGCCAATATCTGTCATCTACGTTGGACAGTGTGTCCCCAGCCTGAACCAACAGAAAAATGCCAACACCACAGTGAAACATGGAGGGCATGAAGAAGGAGAAAAAGGACAAGACACACCCAATTCCTCTATCTTGTCCCCTTTGAACCCCTAATCTAGAATCCTAAAATTTTACTTTTGCACCCGTGCCACACTTAATTATTACTTATATCAAACACTCAGAGGTTGTAATTCATCCTGTAAGATTGAAAACTCCTCTCCATGGACAGAGATCACAGACAGTGTCTCTGGGGGCTCTGTCCAGGGGGGTTCCTGAGCCCTGCCAGGGTCCCAGACCTGCCAGGGCAGCCAGAGGGAAGCCCTGGATTCCCACATCTATATATACATTATATATTTAGTTAAGGGTTGCATTTCCTTGCACCTGCCTTGCACCTTCCATCACAACAGCCCAAGGAGGAAGATCTCCTCCCAAAACAATGATGGATCGTATGGCTTTCTGTCCTGCCCTTTGACAGCCATCAGGACCTCCTGGTTGCTCAGGCTGCAGCTGGGAGGGCTGGAGGCACCAGGAAAGAGCCACTTGCCAGTGTGGAGGTCACAAGCAGAGGTAAGAACTGAGGGAAGGCTCATTCAAGCTTGGTGTCCTGGGAAAGGAGGACTGTGGAAGATCAGGGGATGTGGAACATGCAAACCCTTTCTGTCTCTCACCTGATGTGCCTCAGGCAGGAGCTGCTGGTTCCAGCACTGCCAGAACACAATGGGAATTCTCCCTGTGGATCCTCCTGTCCCTGCCAGCCCTGGGAGTGTGCTGCTGTGCTTGGCCAGCTGGGTCTGCTCCAGGCCACCTCCCATCCTCTGGGGTATCCTGTGGCACAGCAGCTCGGGATCAGTGCCAGGGGAGCTCACAGAGAGATCAGGAGCTGTGTCTGGGCTGACACACATCCATCCACCGTGGCTGGTTGGATCTCAGCTGTGTGAGTCCATGGCGTGGGGCTGATGCCTCAGGTTTAACTTTTAGATTTTTCAGATTCTGTGCTGCTTTAGTGTGTGGGTCTGGGCTTCATATTAGGGGACGATGAGCTCTCTTCACAGAGTAGGGAGACAAAACAATTCCTGCTCTAGCTGGGGACCAAGGACAAATGATCCAAAACTCAGGCCCAAGAGCACAAACATCGTGGGCTGGAGAGAGAAAAACAAGGATGTGACTTCATAAGCTAAAGCTGTAATTGGACAATTAACTCCAATATGCAAATAGACCAGAACTTATATAAAAGTGAGAGACCCCATGACTGGTCATGCATTTTGTGACCATTTTGGTTTATCTTGTGTTCATAATTTGTGATGAACCCAAGATAACTATTTTGTAGCTGGTGTTAACCAACCATTTTGGTTCATCTACATGAGCTAGGGTGTAGCCCTGGCTGGGCTCTTGTGCTTCCCAAGGTGGATCCATTTAGGCCTCCTAATAAATCCCTACTTTATCCTTTAGCTTTGTCTAGTCTCTGATCCAGGGCAGCCTTCACAAGGCATCAGGGAGAGCTGGCTGACACTCTCCTCTGTCAGATTTGGGAAGTGCTGGTGAGTGGGGGAGAACCTTTGCAGCTGGAGGAAACCAAGGTTTGTATGGTCAAAAAAAGCTCAGGATGGCCCAGACAGCCCAGGCAGCTCTAGGAGAAACCATGGAATGGTCATTTTAGGAGGCATGGCAGGTGGAGGAGAAGCTGGAGAACAGTCAGTGTAGAGTTACAATGCTTGAAAATGATTGTTTTCTATGATGAGGTTTGCTCAGGGCAGAACAGGTTAAATTGACCTCACCTTTAACCAGGCCTTTCTCCAGACCAGGAATGCCATCTGTGAGTGAGGGCAGCATGGGGCTGCTCCTCCCCTGGCCCACCCCAAAGAACAGTAGCAGAACTGTGTCTGCAGCCTCTAGAAAAGATCTGCCTGCAAATAAATGCATTGATACGACTCGCAGTCACATTCTACAGAGGGATGAAGGGAAGCCCAAGCTCTTCATCAGCTTTTGGTCCTGCATTGTCCTATAGGAGGTCTCATGAACATTTGCCATTTCAGCACCCTTCAACTGTCCACAGAAAAAGTCTGGAGTGCCCTTTGAGGAGGGTCCAACAGCCTAAAAAGAACATTCTCCCTCTTTAGCAACTGTGGAGTTTCACTTATCAGCCACTTATCCCCCTCCAAGACTGGTGGCTTAAATGATGCTGCTTTTGCTGGAACAACGACCACTGATTTTCCATCAGGGTGTGCTGGACGAGCTGGGCTGGGTCTCATGTGGGACCCTCTCCCCATCTTCGCTTGTCGCTCTGGGAGGGAGCAGCCCAGCACGGAGAACGCAGCAGGTGCTGCACGAACTGCTCCCAGCTCTCATCTCTGTGCGGTGGGAGGGTTTGAAGGTGCTTCTTAACCCGGTGAGTCCGGCCTCGGGCTGGCTCGGGATGCGGGTCTGCACTCCGAGGCTGGCGGGTGCCGGCCCCACCCGCAGCGGCCCGAGGGCCGCGGCCCGGCCCCGCTCCCGCCGCCCCACCCGAACCACGGCAGCACATCGCCCGCAGCGCCGAGCAGATCCCGCCGGCCCCGCCTCCGCTTCATGTGCCGCCAGGTCATTAAGAGCTGTAATGACAAGCGGCTTCTGCCCGGGTTGGCTCCGCCGCGGGCTCTGATCCGCGCAGGGAACGCCCGGATCCTCCGTCCCCTCACGGCGGCGCTTTCCAGGGAGCGGCCGGGGGCGCTCGGGGGCGCAAGGAGCCTTCGTGTGGGGGCTCAGGCTCACGCACCCGCCTTTCCCAAACCGCGGACGAGCGGAGCCACGGGATCCCCGGAACACGCCAAGGCCCCCCAGGACCCTCCGGGACCCTCAGCCCGGGCAGCACCGCCGCCCCCGAGCGCAGCGCCGCCTGCGCTGCGACCCCTGGCCGGGGGTCGGCGCTATCCACGGGCCGCAAGGTACGCTGGGAGTCGTAGTCCTCGCCCACAGCACAGCGCCGGCCGCCCCTCACCGGCCGCTGCGGCCCGCGCCCTCCGCGCGCCCCGAGCTCGCCGGTCCCTCGGCCCCGAGCCACCGCCGCCTCCCGGGGCTCCCCCGGGCCTGTCCCGGCCCCGCACCGCCGGCCCTGGTGCCCCGCTCGGCCGCCGCTTTCCGCTTCCTGCGCGCGGCGCCCCTCGGGGCTCGTAGTCCCGCTGCGCTATTCACGACGGTCCCTGCGCTGTCTCCGCGCCGCACGCCCGCGGCCGGGACGGGGCGCTGCGCCACGGCGGCGGCGTAGGGCGGGCGGGAGGAAGGGCCGGCAGGGCGGCCGGAGCGGGTGCGAGCTGCTCCGCCCGGGGGACGCGCGGGGCCGGGGGGACAGAGCGGCAACACGGCGCGTCCACCCCCAGGTGAGCGGCGACGGGGGCGCGGGGGAAGGGAGCGGGGACGGGCCGGCCGCCCGGGGCCTCCCGCCGCAGCCCCGCGGGCCGCGGCTCCCGCCTGCGCCGGGGGTCGCTCGGGGCTCTCCCGGCCGGAGGCGCCGCTGGGCCCGGCCGCCCCCGGGCCGCCCCGCACCACCTGTTGCCGGTGGGGGGCTGGAGGCCGGGCGGCCCGGGGGGGCGGGCGGTGCCGAGGTCCCGGCTCGGGGCTGTGCGGCGGCCGGGGTGCTTTGCCCGGGGCTTTGGAGAGAGCTGGCGGCGGCGGGGGTCCCACTCGCGCCGCGGCCCGGCCGCACAGCCGGAGGGGTTTTAACGGGCTTGAGCGTCGCGCAGCAGCCGGGGGCGACGGGGAGGCTCCGTGACTGCCCGCGTTAGGCTGCAGTGCCCGACCTGCCTTCGCCTTGCTCCCGGCGCGGTGAGATCGCAGCTGCCCGCTCCTCCCGCGGGCACGGGAGCCTCGCTTGCGGCACCGGCTCCGGGCTGGAGCACGGCAGAGCCCCCAGCACCCCGGGCTGCCTGTCCTGCAGTTCTTCACTCTCACCTCCAGCTCAGACACTCGTGCTGGGGCTGAGAGGGGTTTTACGCAGAGTTTCTCAAGCCTCTGCGAGTTTGCCCTTTAGAATCACTTGGCTGTCTCTTATCCTTGGGTCTTGTACATCCTAAGGCTGTTTGGTCCCAGTGTCTCATCAAGACTCTTGGATTTTGCTGCTTGTCAGCTCAGCTGCAGTTGAAGTATCTCAGCCTCCAGGTCCTCGATACAGAAGTCTTTGAAGATGGAAAAAGCTCTGTACTTGCCAGCCTCTCCATTTACTGAGCTCTCTCCTTTCCCTGCTTCTGGGGTACATCCCCCCAGGCGCTAGGAAACAACTGTTCAGGGTGATCATCCGTGGGCCTGTTGAAGGAGATGGGATAATGTGAACGTTGTGTTTGAAATGTCACTGTTTCCTCCAAGCTGGGAATCTCAGTGAAGCTTGGCGCTCCCTAGGCCTGCAGGCCCGGGGTGCGGCTGGGTGGGTTCTCATGGTTGGTCAGAAGGTTATGTGGGAATTGCTCACTGCATGTGGCCTGGGGCACTGGTGCAGGACAGTGCTGCACTGCTGTGAGTCAGTGAAGAGCTGATGGAGACTGGAGAGGTGTTTGGAGGGAGCCAAGGTGGAGATGAGGGGTGCATATCCCAGGCTGTGGCTCTGAATGCAGAGATCTTGCCATGCTTTGCACATTGTCACCTGGGATTTGGAGGGACTTGTGCTTCAGGGCTCCCCTCTTCCATAAACTGGAGCAGACCTGAGGTCACAGACTGGCTGCCTGTGACTCTGAGAGTCTGCTGGTGGCCTTTTCTGGCCATTTTTTGAGATCCTGCTGAACAGTTTGGCTTGTGCCCCTGAGTGCACCAGAGCAGGGCTGAGCTCTGTCTGAGCATAACCTGTCCAAGGCATAATTCAAATTACCCTGGTTTTATGTGTGTGGAGATATTAATTCATTTCAAGTTGCATCAGCTTCAGTTTGTGTCCAAGGCTTTAACAGTTGAAGGCAAGACCCAACATCGCTCTCTTCCCGGGAGGGGTTGAATGGCTGGAGAGGCCTTTGAAGGTTGGATGTGACTGGCTGGGTTTGCTAAGCCCAGTTGTTCTGGCAGGAGGGAGAGCAACCTCCTCCAGCCTGATGACTTGGTGCATAAGCGAACTGGAGGCGTGGGCCAGGTGCGGTGTCTCCTGAATCAGAATAAATACTGGAAAACAGCCCCAAAGTGCTAGAGTTGCACGTAAAAAAGGTCAGGCATCATGCCCAGACTCGGAGCTGTCTCGTGGTCATGGAAGGGCTGGGTGACACCATAGAGGAGCCTGGATGCCCTCAGCAGATGCACTGATTACCCCTCACTCTCCTTGCTCACCCCTTATCTTTGCTCTGGGCACCCTTTATCTTTGCTCAGAATTCCTCTGGTTTTGCAGAGGGAAGTGGCCACAGCCCTGGTGTTCCCTCAGCCAGCTGAGTTGAAGTTGGCTTTAACTCGTGGAAAACATGTTGCTCTCCTCTGTCCCAAAGGTTTTGTGGGCGCTTTCCAAGTTTTCACTAGCTGTATGTGAGACCTAGAGAGAGACTCAGACTGTGCCCTGTGTCCATGGTCGTGTTGATCCTGCTGGTGGAATCATCAGCTGCTCCTAGTTAGAGAAATCCTGTTTTCCTCCCATCTTCCCGCTTCATCTGAATGAGTGGGCTTGTTTTTTTTTTTTTTTTTGGCTTTGTTCTGACCCTTCCTGAGAGCAGAGGGGTCTGGGAAGAACCAGACCCTGTGGCATTCCTCCAAGTGGGGTATTTATGAAGCAGAGGGAAGCTGGAGTGAGGGATTGTGGCTGCCTGTGGTCAGAGGAGGCATATTTGGACATTGTGTGTTAACCCAGTGTCCTGCCACCATGACTTTCTCCCAGTGCCCAGAGCTGGGGAGAACCTTGTGAGCCCCCGATTTGCTGGAACTTGGGGCTCTGATCAAGATCACACTCAGTGCAGCCTTTGGTGGGAAAGCTGCTTATGTGGATGGGCCAGGTGAGTCAGTGGCTTCCTCCTCATTTTCCGTCATAATCCCACTCTCTGGAGTGCAGCGAGCTGCCTCCCTGCTCCCTGGAAGCCTCTGCATCTGCCTGTGTTCACCTCAGCCTTGCTGCTTGCTGTTGGAACCTTCCTGAGAGGCTCTCCAGGCCACAGTCACCCAGCTGGGCAGGGAGGAGCAGGCTGCTCCGAATTTCTGTCACATTTGCTGTTTGGAGTGTTGACACTTGCCTTGCGTTTAGCAATGGCAGCTGAGGAAGCCAAGAGAGGCAGAAGAGCTGCTCCCTGCTCACGAGAAACATTTAACTCTTGCCCTCACAGCTCCCTTCCCTGTGTGCTGGCAGCTCCCAGGTTGGCTGATAGGAAATGCCGGTGGTGTTCCCAAAATTCATTTGTGTTCAATTGCTCAAAGGATGAGGAGGGGTTTTGTGTGCCATTTCCTCTTGCACTGGAAGAAAGAAATGCTGCTGCCCTGATGCCTGGGCAGAAGGGAGAAGGGGGGGCCCTGGCAAGGAAATAGGATCCAGAGAAATGTGTCACCAGCAGAAAGAGCAATTGTTTTCCTGCATTTCCATGGCAGAGCCTTGTCCTGTTCAGGCAGTCCTTGTTTGACAGCCAAGATAATACATTTATATTGATGTAATTAGCGGGACGTGGAGTTTGCTGAATGGCTCGGGGGCAGCCTGCTTTTCAGACTAACTCCAGCAAATAGATCAGGCAGGATTGGAAAGCTGCCGTGGGTTGCTGGAATTGGCCTATTGGGTTTCTGGAGGTTGAATACATAACTGCTGATATTTCCTATTGTGCTGTACCCTGCCTATTTGAAAAGAAAATAACTCAAGGGAACATGGGGCTATTTTTGCCAGCTTGAGATGATCAAGTTTGATTTCTAAAAACTGAAGCCGAGTCTTTAGGCTTGCACATTAAAACCAGTGTTGGAACCATATCTCTGTTCCTCCACAAATGCGTGCCTCCACACTTTGCCAACGATGTAAACTCTAATGAGTGTTCATAAAAAAAGAAAGAGCTTTTCTGTTCCTGCAGTGCAGCCCCTTTTGTAGGAAATGCTGTGGGCCTGAGCAGGCTCAGCATCAAGGATGGTGACAGTGACACTGTGTCAGGGGACTGAGCTGGTGTCCTGTCCCAGCCCTGGTGTGAGCAGCCTTTGCCAATCCTCAGGGCTATCAGTGTATTCTTAATTTGGTGAAATAGAGACCAAGACCTTACAAAAATCTGTTGTCCTCCAGTGATGCTGCCCAGCTGCATTTGTAATGTGATGCTTCTAGTGGCACCAAAGTTTCCTCTTCATCATCTTGTCCCCAGTCCCAGGCCTGGTGATTTCAGTTTACTGAAGATATCACAGGCAGCTTCCCAACTCGTGTCCTTCTGCTCCTGTAACAAAGAGGTTTGCAGAGAAAGTTACTCATGGACAACTTTGCTGGCAGCAAATCCTCTGTGTTTGTGCTGGCTTGTGGAAGTGGGAACACAGCACTAGGGTCTTTGTATGCTGAGCTTTGTCCTCTGCTGTGGCCATCCACAATCCACAGAGGCTGCAGCACTGATGTGGTCAAGATCGTGCTCTCCAGCTTGCCCCTTGTCAGGCTGCTTCCTGCAGACTCTGGCCAGCAGGCAGAGCTCGGGAAGTCCTTGAAATTCCAGCCCTGCCCAGCAGGTCTGTTTTGAGCTGCTGGGTGCTGAGTGCTTTCCCTTCCTATCCCATGGAATGTGCAAGGATAATGATGTGATGTGGCACCTGGGGGATGCTCTGTCTGCTGGTGTTGGTCTCATTGCCTCATTAGCTGTCGTGAATATCCAGCCTTGCAGTGAGGGAGCAGCTCAGCGAGTGCCTTGGAGGTGCTGTGGGTCTGGAATTCCTGTGTAGCTGCCAAGACCCTTGGGCTAAAAAGATCAGGGTGGTCCTTTTGAACCAGTCCCTTATTTACTGATTACTGGTCCTGAGTGGTGTTCCTGGTCCATTCTCTACACCCACCCCCTGCTGCTCTGGTTCTGTTAGCAGCACCTGTCCAGGTGTTCACCACAGGGCATCTTCTTCCCCCTGCCTGGAATTGTCAGAGTTGGGGAGTGCTGGAAGAGAAAAGCTTTTTGTGAGCTCATCATCACCTACCCCAGGGGTATCACACTGCATCTGATGGTGTGGCTGTGGCATGGTGAGCAAGGTGAGGGGGCAGAACAGGGTCTCTTACTCTGCCATGCTGCTAAAGAGGCTCACTGATCACATGGTGCCAGCTGAATCCTTATTTTTGTCCTCCTTCCCCAACCTAAAACAGAGGAAGTGAGAGTGTGCTGGAGAGCCAGACACACAGGGACAAAGGTTCTTGTTGCCTCCATCTGCTACAAGCCCATCCCAAAGGAGACAGCACTTTCCCAAAGAAGGAATTTCATTAAAACAGGTTGTTTTGAGAGCAGAGAATATGAAGGAGGAAGGGGAAATATTTCAGAGGAGGGAGATTTGCCGAGGCAACTACTCAAACGTCATGGCTTCTGGGGGTGGGATGGGCATGTTTGGCATAATCAGAGGAATTTGTACTTCAGAATCTCCAGGAGATGTAGCTGGTAATGATGTCCTGGCTATGCAGAGTAATTAACATCTGTTTCTGTATTTGAACATTCAGGCAGCGTGCCCCGCCAGACATCGCTGCGTTCCCATCCGGCCCCTCGGGAGATCCTGCCCTGTTGCTAATTGTCGAGAGCTGTCCAGAGTCCTCCTCCACGCGATCGTGCTCTGCTCCATCCCGCTGTGCTCCCGAGGTGTGCCCTTCCCTGCTCTGATGGCAGCTCCCACCAGGATGCTGAGCAGCAGCGCCCGGCAGGGAGGGAGGCCAGTGGTGGGCACGGAACTATAAAGTCGCAGCCAAAGGTTCTGAGAGCACGAGTGAAGAGTCTGAGCTGACCCAAAAGCTGTCTCCTGGGAGGACCAAGCTCCAGCTGGATGTCACGGGAAGCTCTGCGAGCTGGAGTCCAAGGGGATGCTGATTGAGGGACCAAAAATGTGAGGTTGGTTGTCTCTGCTGATGCCATGCTGATGGGCCTGGAGTCTCAGCAGTCATCTGTTCTTATGTGCCTTTTTTCACTCTCTGTCCAGCAGCTTGGGACAGCAGCTGCTCCTTCCTTGGTGTGCTCCCAGTGCTCGGTGCAGGAACCTTCTAGCATGCTTCTCCAGCCGGGCCACTCAGCGGGTGCCAGCAGTGGCCGTTCAGGACCAGGGACACCAGGCTGACCCTGCAGCGACTGGCACTGGACCTGCCAAGCAGGAATTGTGTTGGGTGAGAGGCTTTTCTGACTCAGCTGGCACTGGGCTGGGAGGGGCTGGAAGGAAGGAGACCTTCTCTCTCTGGTTTGTGAGCACAGTTACCCTGCTTTGTGTCTCTCATGCCTCTTGTTCTTGTCTTTCTTCCTTGTTTGAATTCCTCTTTTGAGTGTTTCTGTGCTGTCTGTGTGAAGGCTATGTGCTCAAATGGGTGGGGATACTAACGTCCTCTGGTCACCTCATGGTGAAGAAGGAACTGTTAAAGTGGAAGAGAAAGTGTGGGGTCTTCCAGCACCTTAAGCAGTGGAAACTGCATGACTGTCTCAGGGTGTGTTTGAGGCAGTGCAAGGGCAGGGCAATAATCAAAGAAACTCTGCACAACTTTGCCTGCAGTAACCACAGAGCTGTGGCAGTGCCCACTGGGACAGAGAGGTGACTGTTGTGCCTTGTGTGGCTGGGCTGCTCTCAGCCTGGGCATTCAGAGCCTGGGCTGTGGAGGCAGGACGAGGTGGGTGGGAAGCCAGTCTGAGCTTGGACTGTCAGGATGCATTTGCAGCGTGTGATGATGTTGTTCTTGGATTCAGATGATCCAGGTTGACATGGCCTCATCCAGGTTGGGGCTTTGGATTAATCAGATGGACACTGGTGCTTGCTGTGTGGTGGCCCATCTGGTCTGGCTGGTTGTTTATGGAGTAGCTGGACTCTTTGTGTGTTGTTGATGTCCAGCCACAGCAGAAGGCCTGCAGGAGCCTCTCACAGCTTTGGTCAGTGAAGCTGGGCCATGAGCACCCTGGTGTTTGAGTGGTGACTGTCACCAGGCAGATGTTGGCCAGATCTCCACCACAGCTTCTTCCACTGGGTGAGAGGAATGAGGTGGCGTTCCTTTTCTTGGATCTGTTTTGATACAGCCTTGGAATGTCTTTCAAAAGCTCCTGCCCTTGTTCCTGTTGCCTGACCTTGCCATGTCTTAGCAAGAAGAGCCTGCTGGAGGGAGCCTGGGGGTCTGCAGCGCCACTCACGGCTCAGGCCTGTGGATGTGTCTTGCAAGGCATGTGGGAATGACTCCAGTAACATGATCTCCTCTCCAATGCCCTTTGATTTCCGGATGCAGTCAGCAGCCTTTGGTTAAAGCTCAGCTCCCTCCCTGTGCTGGAGGTACCCCTCGTGGCTGCTGGCTTTGCTCCACCATTACTCAAACCACCTGCATTATGTTTCAGCCCTCTCAGAGTACAGCCTTTTCCTCATGTGACCATTGTATTTCTTCAAATGACTGTTCCCAGAAAATATTGCTTAAGGTGTGTGTAATTGAACACATCCTACATCCTAACATGGGGTAGCTAAAGAGAAGCCACTTGTGATGGGACAGTGAGCCAGTAAAATTACTGGCTGGTGGTGAGGGGAGGGTTGTGGTGGTCTCAGGCACTGTTTTGTTTGTATCACTTCCTTGTACCAGGTGTTATTCCTCACCTCTAATCTCAATACAGTATGATCTCCTAACAGAAGCAATGGCATGGCTGCCACATCAGTGTGCAGAAGGATTGATGTATTTTTCAGGTGTCACCTGGAGGTGGAGAGGTGGTGAGCAGTAATGTGGTGCTTTCTCATTAAATGATTGTGCTGAGCTGTGCTTCCCTATTGCTCAGAGAAGCTGTGGTTGCCCCATCCCTGGAAGTGTTCAAGGCCAGGCTGGATGGAACTTGGAGCAGCCTGGGATAGTGGAAGGTGGCAGGGGGTGGTAGGAGATGGGCTTTAAGGTTCCCTCCAACCCAAAGCATTGTGTCATTCTGATTCTAGATGAGGAACTTTCTCTCTGCCCCCTGAGTCTGTCTCAGCTTCCTGTTCTCTCCTGGTTCCCTGTGCTCTGGGGAAGGCAGGAGCCTCTTGTGCAGCTCTCAGCAATTCTTGTGCTTTTGTCTCTTGGTTGTTTGTGATGGAAATGCCAAATGGCACCATTGTCTGACAGACTTTTTCCACCTCTGTGTTTGCCTGAGGCACAGCTAGAGATGTGTTGGCTTAAATCTAGGCCAGTTGGTTGGAAATTGGGATGTGGTACTTGATGAATGCCAGGGAAGGCCAAATTGCATTAAAATGGCAGAAGGAGACAGCCAGGTGCTGCTGCCTGTGTGGCTTGGGCAGGACACTGCAGTGAGGACTGGAGCTATCTCTAAGAAGGGATGTAACTGGATGTGTCTTGGGGAGATGATATATTTACTGTCTGTCTAATCTGTGTTAGAATTAAAGCTGTGACTGGAGTGTCTGGGGACAGTGTGCTCAGGGGACATCTCCACCTCCTGTCTCTCAGGCTTTGCTTTCCAAGTCTGTGCCCTGAGTTTTCACTGGCTATGAGACTGTTTCTTGCTGCAGTTCTCTTCCCCTCCCTTCTGCAGTGGCCAGCCCTTCATCTGCTTACCTGTCAACTTAGCATGATCTAAAGATACAATCCCTGGTGTCCTTTTGGGAATGACCTCGTGTTGTGCTGTGTCTGGGCCTCTATGAATTTGGGTTGCTGAGTGATTGGGAGGAAGGAACTTAATGGGTCATCAAGTCCAGTTCCATGCTGCTGAAGACAGGCAGTCATCTCATGCAGGCCATGAACTTGTCCAAGAGCTAATTGTTGGAACTCATGCTGTGTTTTTTTTTCCCAGTGCTTCTGGAGCAGCTGATCCAGAGATCTGCTCTTGGAAAGGTTAGAAACCCTCCTGACACTTCCAGTGTCCACTTTTCCTGGGTTGCTTTGTTGTGCCTGTGTCCTTGCAGAGTGTTAGCTTGCAGATGAGATGATGACTTGCACATTTTTTTCCTTTCCTGGTTCTCTGTAACCTTTATGTCCTGCAGTTGTGGCTCTGGATGGAGATTTGTCCTGAGAAATGTGCTGCTTTGTTTTCTCATTTGGGCAGCCTGGGTTGCCTGGACCCATTTGTTTCCTCATGCTTTTGAGTGTTTCAAGTGCAGGTGGAGCTGTGAGTTGCATAGTTTGTAAATGTTAGTGAGTACAGAAGAGCACTTTATGCGCTGGTGTCATTTCTGTCTTCTTTTTTAATGTTTGTCCTTGCTACTTGTGCCACCTTGCCCCTTCAGGAGGGAGAGGTGTCAGAAATACTTGAATCAAGGGGAACCTGATAAAGCAGTGTATTGAAGAACCAGTGCCTGGCTCTTACTCGTGGTTCTTATTCATGTTTATCTCTAGCTGTGAATGTGCAATAACAACAGTTCTGTTCAGCACAGGCTGGCAGAGCCTCAGACAGGAAGATCTGCTGTTTACCAAGCAACACTCTACTGTAAGTGAGAAAGAGGGGAAAAAAGTGGTTTATTGCTGCTGGGTAGCTCAGAGTGTAGTTAAACCTTTCTGAAAAAAGACGAAACTAAGAGCACATGTGTTACTCAAGATGCATTTTTCCTGGCAAGAGTCCCATGTGTGTGCTCTTCTTGCAAAGCATCCCTGCGTATGCTCCTTCCCATTCAATTCACAGCATATTGGGAGCAGGCAGGCAAGAGCTTCCTGTTTTTATAATGCAACTGGTCTCAGCAGGCAGTCTGTCGAGGTGATTTTTCAGCCTGACATCTTTTGTAGCTGGGGCAGCCTGTGAGCTGAGTAGGATGGCAGAACTCCGCTGCAAGGATTATAAACACGGGGAGGAAAAGATCTGGAAATGAGATCTACTGGTAAAGCTTCCCGGGATTGGATGCTGTGGCTTGTGTTGTTTTGTTCCTTCCTCTGTGAGTCTCTCTGTGACATTTCCTCGCTGCTGCTGGTGCTGAGAGGGCCCTGCCAGCCCACCCACGCCGCGCTGAGCTCTGGAGTCCCCCACAATTGGCCGGGAATTGCGGGATACACGCGGCTCGTTGCACTTCAATGGAGCAGTGTTAATTGACTTAATAGAGCACTGAGTTTGGAGGGATTTCCTTGTGTGGGTTTTCACAACGTGTGTGCACTCAGACCCTTCTGCAGCAGTGCCCTTGTTGCCATTTTCACGCTTGTTCCGAAACTGCTTTGCAGTTGTCAGTGGAGATGAGGTTTGACGTTAACCCTTATTTTGAAAAATCCTTCCTGCTTCTCCTCTTTTTCTCCCTCCAGCTTGTGATTAAGATGCTGATTGCCCTTTCAGATCTGTGTAATCCCCTCTCTCAAAGTGACCCGGATAGATTTCCAGTAGCTCCCTGGATTATCTGTCACTGGTTTACAGTGTCCAGTGCAAGGGAGAAGAAGAAACTTTGTTCAGACTTTGATTGTAGTTGCTCTGTGGCTAAGGTGCCTCTGCAATACGTCTACTTCTCCTGTCAATCTTTCACTTCACGCTTCAGACACCTCTTCCTCTGCCTGCATACTTACAAAGAGTCAGTGCTGGGCATTAAATGCAGCTTAGCCCAATTCAGCTGCTGTGAATGAGTTTCTCCTGGGCTAAAGGTGGGCAAGAACCAGTTTCAAGGCAGCTGAAAAAAAGGTAAAGACCCTCAAGCTTGCCTTTGCATGTTGATGTCTGTGGCCAGAGACATGTGCTGCTGTTCTGGACTTTGTAGCATGGAGCATGAGATCCTGCTCTGTGCTGGTCTGGGACGCCAGGTTCAATTATCTTGTTACCTCATTAATAGCCCATCTGGAAATCTGCTTCCAGACAGTTCACTTCAGCTAGTCATATCTCTGCAAGTGGTGTACCGCTCTTATTTCTCACCAAGACCTGGAAAACAGCTCACTTAAAGCTTCCTGTCCCCTCAGTTTCCTGCAGGGCCAGAATATCTGATTTTCTTCCCTCAGCCCTCTGCCCCAGAATGAACATTTGGGTGGGTGAGTTTCACTCTTCTCTCCTTTTTCTATGTCCTCCCATCTGCAGTGCTTGCACACTGCCTGTCATCCTTGTACATTGCACACCTGAAGACTCCTTGGCCCAGGCAGGTAAGGCAGAGTCTTCTGAGTCACAGAACCCCAGGGAGCTCTGTATGAAGCATGAGGGCTGCAAAAGCCTCCCCCATCCCAGCTGAATGTGCCATCCACTGTCCCATCCCTCCAGTTACACCCCTGCCTCAGTCTGTCCTTGGAGGTGCCTTCCCACCCTGCCCTGCTAGAAGCTTTGCAAGGAATTGGAACTTGCTGACACCTTCATTTCCTGCCAACACTGCAGCACTTGGACTGGCTTGGCAGATGAGGGTAGGGAGAAAGAGCAGCAAAACTTTGTCTTGTCCCCAGCTGTGTGCATGACACCTGCTCAGCACAGAGTGTTCCAGCTCGCTTGCTCCTGCTGCACTTGAGCCATGGAGCTCTCATTGGATCAGCGTTTGCAGCTTAGATTTCAGTGCTGTGTCTGCCTGAGATGGGTGTCTTGTTGCTTGTCTGCTCTTCCCCTGCTGCCTTCTGGAAAAAGAGAGGATTCTTCCCTTCCTCTCCTGGGGTTATTTCTTTCCTCAGAGTCATCTCAGCCTGGTGAATTCCAGCCATGCTTTTCCTGCTGCTGGTGCCTGGTTGTGTACATCCTCAGGTCCTGCCACCCTGCCTGGAGCTGGGGGCTGGCTAGATCACACAAATGCTTGAGCTCCTTTGCCTTCCTTGGCTAGCATAACACCATCAGACACTTCCCTCTGCGTTCTTAGTTATCCCAACCTGCTCTGGCACTTTGTGACTTTCTTAGGCTGCCACACCTGGTGCTATGCACCTTCCAGCCCTGCACACCATTCCCTGCTTACCCTGGCCTCTCTGAGCATGTGCCTTCTGAAGGGGAGATCTGCTGTGCTTGGAGGCAGGATTGATGGGAGGCCTCAGGATGTCTGAAGTGGTCTCCTCCAGCTCGATGCCCCCACACAGCCCCAGCTCCTCCAGCTGTCCCTGAGCTCCTTGGTGTTTAAGGGTGTCCCCAGGGAGGAGGCTGCTCCTCCAGGGCTGTGTGTGGGCTCTCAGCAGTGAGAGCTGTTCAGGAGCCCTGGCTTCTCCCTGCCAGCAGCTGCTTACATGGGACTGAAGGCAGACAGCTCCTCCTTTGCTGGTGACAATGGTACCAGGTCCCAGCACATCTGGCTCCCCTGGGCATGTCATGGCCCCAAGGCTGCCAGAGCTCCAGGAGTGTTTGGACAATGCTGTCAGGCACAGGGTGTGATTGTTGAGGAGTCCTGGTGCAGGGTCAGGAGTTGGACTTACGATCCTTATGGGTCCCTTCCAAATCAGGACATTCTGTGGATCTTAGTCAGCCCCCAGGCAAAGGAGCTCACATAGCAGAGGGAGGAGAAGGGCTGGTACTTCACCTTCAATCTTAGAAGAAAGTCTCCTGCAGCTTCCTCTAGGTACAGCTTTGAGGGATGTATTTCCCTCAGGTACATGGTGAGCATTCTCCTGGGCCAGCTGCTGGCCCTCACCTCAGACCAGAGCAGTCTGGAGTTCAGTATGTCTGATGGTATTTTCATTCCTGGATCTTCCCTGGAGCACGGGAGTAGCTCAGAATTGACTACATTTATAGGCTGGGGGAGTGGAGGAATTAATGAAATGGCAGAGTCTTGTCACGGACTTTCCAAGGCTGAGAACCAAGAGAGGCTGGAAAATTCAATCAGGAGCAAAGCTGTCTCATGCCACATGGATCAATAAATTACTAGGAAAAGGAGTGTGAGGGTATCCCATCACAAAGAGGGGCTGCTGCACGTGGGACCAGCTGGGGTGAGTCTGCCTCACTGGTTTCCTCACAGCTCCAGGGACCTCTGTCTCTTCTTCCTGCTGTGTGCCAAAGGGAAGAGCTTGGGGCTGATGCTAGGAAAAGTTGATCTTGCAACTTCCTAGATGCATTGAAACACATGGGCTAGTTCTCTTTCTCTCTCTCTCTTTTTTTTTTTTTTTTTTTTTTTTGGCTCTCTTCAGAGCCAAAACCTGCTTTGAAACTGCAGAGAAGGAAAGGGGGTTGGGTAGATTCCCACCCTTCCTGCCTGCTCTGCTGTGCCATGAGAGCTGGGGCCCAAAGGGTCAGCACTGCTCACTGGTGTGGAGGAACAAGGGTATGTGGAAGCATCCAGGCAGCTGCTTTGCTGTCCTGGCTACAGGAGGAGCTCCATGGAATAGCTTTGCTGTCCTGCACACGCTGTACATGCCTGCTGCCCAGGGTCTGGTAGAGAATTGGAGGAAGGGCCTGCATCACGTACCACAGATCAGGATAAAGAGCTGTGAGTGGCTTGGGGGTGGCGAGATCAAACTTGTTTTCATTTTGGAAGCAGTATTTTGGGAGCAGTTACACAGTATGAGTTCAAACCTGGTAGTTATTGCATCCACGAGGGGCAGAAAACCAAAATCCAAACTCAGCATCTTGCTAAGGTGCTTAAGTGTTAATTTCCATGAGTGAGATCCACCCTTCTCAAGGTACTTCAATCTCTTCACATTGTTGCTTCCCCTCCAAATTAGGCATGTGGAAGCAGTGCTTGGTTAATTTGAGGAAAAATCCTGCTCCCTCCTGCCAAGACAGAGGAACTCTTGGCAGTTTGTTCCCTTTTAGTGCCTGAAGCTTCCCCTGTTCAGCCACGTGCCTGCAGGTCATCTCCTGGGGCATCTCCCTGCCCAGTGGCAGAAATTCCTCAAAAATAAGGCTGAGTGCTTCCAGAGTGGCTTTCTTCTTCTTTAATTGACCCCTTCCCTTTCTGGGCTGCAGTTTCCTTTCTCACCTTGACTTCTTGGAGGCTCCTCATTTGCTTAGTGCTGGCCAAAGGTGTTTTGAGGCTCAGCATGGTGAGCACGTAGGTGCTTTGCATTGGGCTGTAACGCTGCTGCCACTCCTGTTCTCAGACTGGTTTGCCCTCTCCCCACCTTTGGGCAACGCTCCCCCTTCAAAATCATTTATTGGCTGCTCTCACCTGGCATGAGGATGACCCTGAGGAGAAGGATTTACTGCTTTGCCTGGAGAAATCCGATTTCACGCAGCACTCACAGCCAAGCAGCCCAGTTAGACCAGACAGTCTTGGAGATCACTCAGATTTAGCTAGGTTATCCTCCACCTATTGATAGCTCCCTTCCTCTCCCAACTCCACCCACCGTGGGGTTTTACTGCAGGTTCTAAAGCAGGGCTCCCAGCCTTTCCCCTCCGTGCAGAGAGGAGCTGCCTGTTCTGGCTCCCGGTGTGGAGCTGGCGGAGGAGACGGGCCGGGAGAGCGGCACCGCGCTGGGAGCCGGCAGCGATGCGGGCAGCAGGTGTGTCTGTGTGTCTGTTGGGAGGAGCTGAAACTGGTGTTTCCAAGGGCAGCAGGAGGAAGCAAAGGTTTCTGCTTTACCAGCTTGAGGAAGTGGTCTTGAACCAGGCTGTGGAATTGCTTTATGTGGCAGTTTAACCCAGCTCAAAGGGGAAAAAGGCTACTGATGCCTGGGCATCCTTCCTCTGCTTGGCTCAGCCTGGAGTGAGGGGCTGTTCTACCCATCTTGCCTTTACTTACCTATTTTATCATGATAGAACCTGAGACTTTGAGTTAAGAGCCAGTTTGTTCTTCTACTAGGTGTCAGAGGTGCATCCCCTGTGCCTTTGCTGCTGGAGCACAGAGGGCTGCTGGGATGGGGCAGAAGAGCCAGAGATACCACAGGTGTGGGATGACTGATGTCTCCAGATAGACTGAGCTGATGATATTTGGAAGTGCTCTTCCCCTCACATCGCGTGGCTTTCATTTACCCAGAAAATCAGATTTGTTACAAATTAACTGCTTGAATAGCAGGAAATGAGAGGGGATGTGCCGGGGATCCACTTCGGCTGGATGTGCAGAAATCAGTGAAACCATGCTGTTGGGTAGTAGGGATGGGGGAGCTGATGCACAGCAGGAAGGCAGCCCAATTAAAACAAGGAGGAGGTAGGGAAAACTGTTCTTGGGCTTTTTTCAGATTTGTTTGGTTCATCCAGGCTTTGCAGGCTGCAGAGACAATGACAGAGCAGTTAACATTCTCCAGTTAATAACGTAATCCAGGCACATTCTGGTATTGAACTTGTACCAAAATTGCACCTGTTCCTTGAGCTGCTGCTTTTGAGAGTCTATTATCTATCAAGGCCTTTCTTGATCCCTTAGATCAATCCTGGGATTGAAAAGCTGTATTTTAGGACTCCTCATCTCAGCTTTTTTACAGCAAGAGTAGTTTCTTCGCAAAGGTCTTTCTGTGGTTCATTCATCTCCTTAAATCCTGGTGGGTAATTGAATAAGCTCAGCTGTGCTAATTTTTCCATCTTCCTTGTTTCTTCTTTTTTGCTCTGTTAAATGTTACCTTGATCCATTGCTCCTGACATGCATCCAGATTGTCCTGCCTTTTCACTTGAAGGAGAGACGTGTGTGTGTTTAAACTTCTTTTAATACAAAGGACATGAAATGTTTCTGGAGTTTAATTCTGAGGATGCTTAAAGAATCAATTCCGAAAAGCAGGAAAGAGAGAGGGAGGAAAGGAAGAGCAAAGCCCCAGACCTGCTTCTGTAGGTAGGGGTGTGCTCAGGATCAGCTAAAACTTGCCTTGGGCTGAAAGTAAATAGTCACAGAAAATACTTTTGCAGGTCCCCAGTCTGTCCAGTTCCAGTCCTACTGGGGTGTTAATGGGGAACAGGAAAAGAGCAATGTTTTATTTTACATGTAAGTACACAAGCCATCCAGTCCTTATAGCTGAGTAACTAAAACTGGTGTGCCAGTCAGAGCCCAGACTAACCTGGCGTGTGTGGTCCCCAAGGGCTGCTGGTTTGGGTTCCAGGTGGGCCTGGCTTGTCCCATTTTCTGCTTCTTTCCCATGTGTGAAGTGCTTTGTGCTGGGTTCTGCTGTGCTTCCCTCCATCAGTCAGTGCTTCCCTGTGCCTGGGAAGTCCTGATGCTTAACTTGGGGGAAGCCTTTTCCAGAGCCCCCACACTCCCCATCTCCAGCAGCAAAAGCTGGATTCAGTGCCACAGCCCTTCCCTTCCCAGTGAGCTCTGGGATGGGGACTCTGATCAGAGCATGCATTGATAGGCTTTAGAACTGGAGGGTTGTTGCTGAAATCATACCTTATCTTTCTCTCTTTTTCTTTCCTTTTTTTTCCCCTTTCTCTGTGTTTGTTTGTTGTTTTTTTTCCCAACTCTGATCAGAACCGAGCTTCCTTTGTCCAGCGTGCTGGGATCTTTGCAGCAGCCCATGCCGCAGCGCCTCGCCCGTTCCACCTGATCTGCCCATGCCACTGGCTTGGACCTAACCTAGGCTCAATCTCAGCGTGGCCTGGGCAGAGGGGAACCATGGGGAGCTCTGCCTCATCGCTGGCCGCAGAGACGGAGTCGGACCATGGCTTCGGTAGCTCGCCCTACCCGGGGCACCCGGCCGTGGGCTGGTATAGGAGCAGTCCCGGTGGCCCCGTGTGGCAAAGTGCCCTTATAACGCGGCAGCACCAGCACTTCCAGCACCGGCTGCGAAGGTAAGGAGGAGGGGAAGGAGCCTGCTCACCCGCTCACCCGCTCACCGCAGCTTCAGCCCGGCCGCTGCCTTGGGACACGACTTGCTTTGCATCCTACTGAGTGTTGGGTCCCTGCATTCAGAGGCTCAGTTCAGCTCCTCGGGAAGCCAGAGGCAGATTCCCACTGATCTGAGTGATGCCAAACCCTGGCTTTACACGGGGGGGCTGATGTCTCCTGCAGAATGGACTGCAGAACTCATCCCAGCTCTTCCTCACTCGCCTAAATTGTCAATGTGGCTGTCTGGGAATGGGATCCTTGTTTGCCATGTTCTTGTGGCTCCTTTTGTTTCTGGCCTCCCAGCCACACTGTAGTGTCACAGGTGGAGGATTGTGTCTCCAGGTTGGGTGGCACTAAGTTGCAAGAGTTTCTGAACTTAGAAGAACCAGAGAAGCTGGTTTCATGCAAAAGCACATTTCACAGGAATGAAACACACCAAAAGATAATTACTCTTAAAAACAGATTAGTGTTTCCAGCTCTCAATTGCTATCCCACCTCGATGAAATCAGCATCTCAGATGTGTCTCTGAACTGTTGCCTCTGCCCCTTCCTCATCAGCCACTTGCAGTGGGGAGTTTCTCTTGTTTTTGCGGGGCTGGTGTCCCGCATTCAGTCTCTGACAGGTTGAGAGATTTATCAAAAAGCATCCAAAACCCCTCTGCCTGGGGGCTTAGCTACAGAAGCTGCTGTGTTTTGTGCTGATAACGTTTGAGCCTTTGCCTAATGCCTGCTTTGTGTGGACTCCAGCCTGGATGCGTGTCCGTACCTGCTTGAGTCTGTTTGGAGCTGCTGGTCATGGAGGAAGAGCTGCTTGCTGAGTGTCCCTGAGCTGTCCTGGCTTTCCCCTGGAGGTGTTTGCTGTGATGTTGGTGCAGTCCTTGTTTTCTTGCCTTCCTGCTGCTGTGGGGCCTGGGGTGTGCTTCCTGGGCTCTGGTGCATGACTCTAGAGCATCCCAGCAATGTCAGGCTTTGTTCCTTTCTGGCCCTCTCTTGGGCCGTCTTCTTGTTGAACTGGGAACAGTGTGAAACCAGTAAGCTGTTGTCTTTATTCTCTAGCATAGACTGGAGTACCTTTAAAAAAGATACTTTGTGCAGTTCCCAAATTCTGTTCCTGTGTGTGCCAACCTGTGTAGCTGGTCCACAGCTCTGGTTGGTGATCTGTGCTGTGTGAGTTTGTTCCCTCTGGTTTAGAGGGATTCTGCAAACAGAGCTGGATCCTCCCTGCAGGTTTATCCCTTCTGGACTGCTGGTTATCCCTCTGTTGCCTTGAGGAGTTGGGAAGGTGTGTCAGCTCACAGATGAAATCCCCGGTATGGCTGTGCACAGCCAGAACCAAAATTGAGGAAGTTAGGGTACACCTGGCCCTGGGCACTAAAAAAGGCAGTGTCTCTGCAGCCTCGTGTGTGGCAACTGAGGCTGCTCATGACTCCAAGTCTGTAGTTTGAGGAACTAAGTGATATCTTGACATGTGGAAATAAATTTCCTGAAGAGCCAGCCTTGGTGGTGGAGCGGATGTTGGGGCAAGAACAGGAACTGCCGGTCTTGGCGCAGATAACGCCGGTGTCCTGTGGGGACAGGAGTGGCTTTTGTGCTAATTCCTTATTCCCCTGCTAAAGGGAGAGCAGAGCTCATCCCGACTCAGTGTGGCGTGGTTCCTGGAGACAGGAAGATCACCGGCTCTGCTTCACTGAGCAGCGAATTGCGTGGGAAGAACTGGCTCCAGGCAGCGATTATGGAAGTGGGTTCAAAAGCCCTGCTGAGATCAGCCAGGCTGCCAGGCATCAAAGGGCCGCCGCTCCCCGGGAACAGCCGGGCCGAGGAGCAGCGGGTGATTGGTTTCCAGAGAGGAACAGATAAATACATTCTTTTAAAAAATTAAGTTAGTCAATAGACAAGTCAGGGTAGGTATCCTGCCTGTGCATGTCCTCGTCCCCGGAGTCATGTAGTGTAGGAAGGAAGTGGAGTACTGGGGAGTCAATTTGAGGCTGGGCTGGAGTTCTAGGATAGACTTTGCTTTTCCTGCTGATTTTCTGTTCCTGCCTGCAGCCACCTTCAAAGCTGATAATGCTTTGGCTGCTGTGGAGCAGCACAGAGCCAAGCTGCTCTGAGCTGTCTCAGGGATGAACACAAACCTTCCTTGGCAGAAAAACAGGGACACAAATACTTAGCGAGTGACTTTGGTCTGTACTTGATGGGGGAGTTGGGGGAGTCATCCCTAGTGGTGGGATGGGAATAGGGGGAGAAATCAGTGCTGTTTGGCTTTCAAGATTTTAGAACCTGGGAGGAGGCTTCACTGTCTCCTGTTGCCTGAATGAGGCTGATGGTGTGGAATTCCCTGTCTGCTGAAGACAGGGGGACAAGAGGGAGTAGGAAAAGGGCCTTAGTGTTAGAAGCAGCAGACTTGTGATAACCACATTTGAGTTCCTGGTCTTTTCTGGATGGGGCTGCAGTCTCTTTCTGTGTGTCAGCATTTAAACAGGAGCCTGTCCCTTTCCCAGTGTGCCAGGAGGACACAGCTGTTGAAAGACTGGAGGTACCAGGTATTAGATGCATGTTGGAGTGATCTGATTGCAGAAACCTCTGCTTAGAGCAAAGATGTTGGGTTTAAATTTGCCCCGATAGCTGTGTGCAGCCAGACAAATTCTGGCTCAGCTGCAGGTCCCCTTGGGCTCCATCTTGCTCATGTGCTTGAAGGTGCTTGGCCTGGGCTCTTGTTGGGTGGGAGCATTCAGCTGAGCCTGGGGATCCATTGTGGCCAAGCTTCCCGATGTGCAAAACCCTTCCTGGAGCTGGGAACAGGAAGGGGCAGTGCCACAGACTGGGTGCTGGCAGCAGGACATGGCTCCATTGCTGTGGCTGCCACCACAGAATGGTTTGGGAGCTGTAGGATCATAGTGGTTTCTAGATGCTGCTGGAAGGGGTGGTGGCACTTCTCCAAGGTGCATCCTTCCACATTGTAAGGGGTTAGGAAGGAATTTGGGCTGTGAACTGTCTCCTGATGAGATTTAAGGGAATATTCCTGTTCACCTCTTCCTCAGTCTCAGGATTCATTAAGAGGGTCCTGTTGAGTACTGAGAACTTCTGGATTTTGCTCTTTGGAGAGGCTTTTGGGTAAAGGGTTGCAAGGTCTGTGCAGCTGACCTAAGTGTCTCTGCCCACTACTCATTTTGGCTGAAGCTCTCTGAACTCCCTCCTCTTCCAGAGGATATTTATTTCCTGGGCTTTCCTGCTGTGTTCTGCAAAAGATTTTTATTTTTCTATAAAAGCCTTTGCAGAATGAAATACCTCTGGGTCTCGATAACTGTGGAGGGAGAAACACACTCTTTTATTATTCTTTTTTATTATTATTATGATGTGCTAAAAAGATGTAAATCTCCCTGCTTTTAGAGGGAAGTGAGGGGACCTGCTTTTGTTGTTGGCAGGTGGTGGGAGGGCATTGTCTGCCACCCCCTGCTCCCCAGAAGCACCTCTTACTTCTGGGGAAGATCTCCGGGCAAGCCTAAATGTCCTGGATGTTTGTGAACCCTTGGCTTAAATACACGAACAGTAGCAAGTCAGAACTGCTGGGCAGCATCACAGAGGCCTTTTCTGTGGGCTCTGAGTTGTTTTGAGGCTGATTATGAGATTTTAATAACTGAACTCTGGCATATGGAAGTGTGGCAGGGCGCTCTGTGGAGGAATGTGGCTTTGTGCTGCTCCTTCAGTCTCCTCCTGTGGCACTTCAGCTCTGAGTGCAGCACAAGCAGAAGTGTCTGGAGGACACCAGGACAGTGCTTAGTCTGGAGAAAAGAAGGCTCAGGGAGGATCTTCTGGCTCTCCACAGCTCCCTGACAGGAGGGTGCAGCTGGGTGAGGGTCAGGCTCTGCTCCCAGATAATAGGGACAGGACAAGAAGAAACAGCCTCAAGTTGTGCCAGGGGAGGTTCAGGTTGGATGCTGGGGAAAAGATTCTTCACAGGAAAGGTGGTCAGGCATTGGAACAGGCTGCCCTGGGCAGTGGTGGAGTCACCATCACTGGAATTGCTCAGAAAGTATGTGGATGTGACACTTGGGGACATGGATCACTGGCAGTCTTGGCAGTGCTGGTGGTACTGTTGGACTCTATGTAGAGGGCTTTTCCCAACTAAATGATTCTGTGTGTCTCTTGCTGGGGAAACCAGGGCCCAGAGAAATGAGATTCTTGGAAAAGAAGCTCCTGGTAAAGCAGCAGGTGACTGCAGGGAATCACCTGGTGGTTGTCTGCATCTGTTTTCTGTCATCAGATCTCAGGCTGGGCATTGGCCCTGGGAGGTCTGGCAGCCTCAGCAGGACAGGTAGCCCAAGAGACCTGGGGTGAGGCAGGCACAGATCCCTGGGTTTTATCAGCAACCTGCATGGATTTGGGTGTGCTCAGAGAGTATTTTGCACCTTTCAAGATCACTCACTGGTTGAGGTTGGAAGGGATCTCTGGGGTCCAGCTGGTCCATCTCCCTTGCTAAGCCTCCATGCAAAGAACAGATGAGGCTGTGGTGTGGCTGTGGAACAGATGGGGATCACCAAATGTGCTCTGAGTGTGTATCCACAGAGGAGGGATAAAGACGCCAATCATCCAAACCACGAGGACTACCAGCAGCTCTCATATTCAGGATGTGCCTGCTCAGCACACAGCAGTGGAACCTGTGTTTCCCAGGTGCTGCAGTGAGGTGAATCCATCCCTGTGTGGGTTGTGCGCCCTCTGGAAGTTGCTGTGGAGTTTGGTGGAGTAAAGATGCTGCAGGTTGTTGTGGATACTTGTTTGATGGGAATGTTTCTTTTTTAACTGTTTGCTCACCCATTCTCACCAGAGCCTGTGGTATCTAGAGCAGTGTCTTGCTTAAGGAGGTGTTGCAGTGCCAAGCAGTTGGCAGCATGGAATGCTGTTTCATCTGCCTGAGGCCCCCAGCCCTGCCCATCCACTCTCCACTGCCTGCTCCAGCGGTCACAAAG